TTTTTGTTTTTATCTTCATCTTTTTTTTTCTTTTTTGATATATAAGGAAGGTAATAAAAATCTCTAGCAGATTGAAAATGGTCATAAATGCGTGTCTAACATTGTCCTTTTGATAGTTCGCGTCGGAGCCATAAAGATGAACATCTCCCGTAGAAAACTCGTAAAATTCTTGTCACGCAAAAGCGATTCTCAGAAATAAACTGCGTTAAATGCTGCCGAAGCTTCAACCGATCAATTGCGAGCGTTGCGCTTTTCTCGCGATTCTCGCAGCTAAATGGAAAAACAGCATTGAGGAAGTTTTTCGGCTTAAGAAAGTTTTTTTTCTTTTTTTTTTTAGCGCGTCTCTTCTCTCTCCCATTCTCGTCCGATAATCGTTAAGATAATTTGTATTAACAAATAAATTAGATTGAAAAATTATATTGGTTATTGTACTACAATTTATACAGAGCGAGACTGCAAGCGACGGGTGTCGCTTATGTAAAGTGTTACGTACGTCTACGTTTCTTCTCTTCGTATTACACCGTGTGTGTGCATCGGTGAAAACTGGAGTGTCCTCGAAAACAGATTTCATAAAAGGAAGCGGGAAGCGCAACGTTGTTTTGAAAGTACTTCTCGAAACTTCGTAATAGAAAGATTCTGTATTTTTGCCGACTTTGTGCTGCGCGGACTACAATATGATCGTATTTTTTTTTTTTTTTTTTTTGCGCTTCGTCAAAACGAGCAACTCTTGGCAGTTTCTCGTTTCACTTCTCGCCCCCTGATATTTTTTGCGATTAAATCCCGATTAAATCGTCGGAAATACACGGCACGCTCGCGCCGCGATCCTATGTGCCTGTGTAACTTTCTTATCGATTTTCTTCTTGCACACTCCGATCGCGGGTTGCGCGACGAACGTGCTCGATTATTCGCGCGAACTTCCGAGTTTTATTTCGGAAAGTTTCACGCATTCGCTTCGGAATTTTGCAGGCGTGCGCGATCGAAGGTTGAGAGTCGCTGGATTGCTCGCAACTTTAGTTGAACAGAATTCGCAATAACGCGCGCGTTTCAACAAAAACGGATGAAATTAATTCGAGAAAGAATGCATAGTTTCGAGAGACGAAAATTACAAAAGCTCTTGCAATTTAGTTTGAGGAAAGCGCGTGCATAAATTTAATATACGGGTTACAAAAACACAAGGAATCATTTAGTTTAAATCAACAATATTTAATTATTTAGTTTAAATCAACAATATTTAATTATTTAATTTAAATCAGCAATTTACTTTAAATCAACAATAAACAAGGTCTCTCTCTCTCTCTCTCTCTTTCTCTTGTACAGACATTAGTTCAATTACGGTTGCTGTAAATAAAACAACATCGATTTTATTTTATTTTGTTTTTTGTTTTTTTTTTTTTTTTTAGACAGCTTGAGAGATATTTGTGATATTTACGTAAAATGTAGCACATAATAGAGTTTACATGAGAGGATAAACATTTAGTGAAAATATTTGATTTTCAATCCGTTCCCACAAAAATACGTCGTATTTATTCATTTGTTCGAGCGTCACATTAATAGAAGATCTGATAACATAAATTTTCGAGCGGAATTGCGGCTGCGATGAAAGTATGCGTTTTATCCAAGTACTTTTCATGCAAATTATGTACAACTCATAAAAATTCTAATTGGTATGCGCATAATTCGCATTTAAATTCGAACTTCAGGTTAACACTACCTCGTTGGACGGGTGTAGAAGATTTTTACCCCTTCAAGTTGTTGTCTCTGTGCGCCTCTGTTTATATTTTGATTATATTATTACTCTCTCTCTCTCTTTAAGTTATTCCGAGTTATGTCGTCGAACAAAACTTTCGATGCGAAATTGAACAAATTTTTACATCGAAATAAGTACGAAAAACTATTATTTCATTGTGTGTCAACCGAAATAATAATTTAATTACTTATTTTCTTTGTATTAATGCATCTGTGTTTTAATTAATTTTGAATTTTGAATTCTTCTGTTAATTACACTCTTGTGTTTATTTCTGTATTTCTCCGCGTGTTTTTCTACCAAATTTTCAATTAATTCCAAAACGCTTTATCGTTTTGTAACGTCGATTTATCGCGGATTAACACTATAGATTTTAAGTAACACTTTTGATAGCATTTGCAAAGCTTTTGATGCGTTTGTATAGTTAATGACAACACATCTATTTACACCACCGTGCTGTCGGAAAATTGCATTATTGAGTCTCTCTCTCTCTCGATGGACTTTCAATATTTAATCACACTTTGTGATTCAATATTCGATTAAATTGCTAACAACACACCAAGTGTTTACAATTTTGTTAAGACAACGAATTAATCTCTCTTGCGGCTTTTGAATTATCAGCATATATGTATATATATATACATACATCGTTTTTGTACATTTTCTGAATAAATTGTACTTTGTGTGGGTGCGTGTGTGCGTGTGTGTTCAGGCACGATAAAAAGCGCCGATCATTTCCGATTCTCGTAAAGTAAGTTCCACGGCAATTGTTACGCGCAGTAGTTAAACGCGACGTTAACGCCGCCGTTTTGCGACAGTAAAACGCGACATTGTGATTTTTCGTTACGATAAATGGCGCTTTACGCCTCGCACCGGAACGCTTGCGAAAAGAACACAGGCTCGTGAGAGTTTAAAAGAAAAAATATAACACTCAGTTTATGCACATGCTAACGACGGACCATCAACTCTGTTTTACGAAGAAAGATAGTTATCTCCTCTCCCTTTTTTTTTAGTAGCACTTAAAAACGATCTTTACAGACCGGTCAGAAAATGGAATTAATTTCGTCTTAATGAGAACATCGACAATTTCCGAAAGATGCAGATAACATAAAGAAAACGCGATAAATCGCAGAACTCTTGTAAACTTGTATATAATATATAATATATATAAAATATATATAATATATATAATATATATAATATATATTAATATATAATATATGTTATAAATATATATAATAATTGTATATAATATATAATATATACATAATGTACATGTGTGTCTCTCTCTTTCTAGAGTTTAAACACGGTTGCTAGAGTTTGTCTCGCGATAAACGGTCTTCGTATAATTATTGCTTTTATTACGAGTTATACGCTGTCAGATATTGCGGCGCATCATCTAAGATAAATTGCGCACGTCGAGCCACCGCATTATAATTTGTATAATTGCGTATGCGGCAATCGGCAGCGATAGAGATAACGTCCGATTTCGGCAACTGTAATTACCGCTGCGGTTACGCTATTCACTTGTCGTGCTTGCGGGGATGCGCAACTCCTCTCTCGTATCTGGCGCACGGACATTAATATGGTTGAGTACGAAATCGTAACCGCGTTCACATGGGGAAAGCTTCTGGTTATTATCACTTAGCTATTACGCGTCCGTGGAACGCGCCTCGGACGATCTGTGATGCCGATAGATCTGATTACACACACCCAGTAACTACTTGTGTTACATTCAGCGTGCGCGCGTACGCGCTTTTGAGATTGCGTTTGCGCGCGATAATTGCTAATGATACGCTTGTGAGGAACGAACTTTAAACACATCGTTGCGCACGAACTGCGCGTATACACACTCGAAAGAGAGAGAGAGAGACAGAACAAACGATAACCGCTCGCCATTAATTTTAAAACGCGCTACCGCGCTGAAAATAATGCCCGACGTTTTATTTAATTTAACGTTACCAATTATTTCATCTCCACACTACCAGAGGTTTTTGCAACCCTTCGCCGAATTTTTCTTTCCCATCTCTTCGCAGAGATTTACTCACGTTCGCCTCGGACGACATTGCGTATCGTCGTTGACGCATCGTTTAGCGTTTTTGATACCGATCGTCTCTAAATCGATCGCGGAATTCCGTTTTACGTACGCGCGTAACGTAGAAAAATCAAGTTTTGCAAATATAAATAAATTTAATAATATACAACTTGATTCTTTTGTAACGTTAAACAAAATCTGTAATCTCTTTTTTTTTTTTAATGTTAAAAACATGGAAATTTGATTCGAGAGAAAGTTAAAAAAAAAAAAAAAAATTCGTCGACATTGCCGAATCAACGTCGCACTTCTCTCCCTTGCGTGCAATCGCGTGTGATCGAGCGTATCCGCCGACGCGAAACGCGGCGATGATTATTGACGATGATACGAGGCCGTAACTGGGCTCTTATCGCGCGGTACGTTAACGTACGTTAACACAGCCGCGGTTCGATGGCTACAGCTTTCGAATGGCTCTCTCTCGCTCTCGATCCCGTGGTGTATCGTACCATACCTTGTCTGCCCGCAGTTTGACACTTACTAACTAGCGCGGCCGCGGATAGCTCCGATGCCTTACCTGCTGTCAGCATTATCGCGTTCTATTACTACTGAGTACGCGCGGCTGCGCTGGGCCGAATCGCGCGCGTTTGCCAGTGTGACTACTGATACCGAGAGGACGCGGTTCAATGCGGAACTATAACCGCTGTAATGTTAACCGTTGACGTTTCTATTGGCACGATCGAGGGGAATCTATTGACCCGGCACGCGAAATGACCAGATAGCGACCAATGTCCGTTTGAAACGGCTTAAAGGGGACTTGTCGCTTGCAAGTTCTCTTCTCGCGCGCGACAAATTTTGTCTATAAATATCGTTAAAACGATTTCGCACACGAGAGAGTCGCGCGCGAAAAAACGTAAAGTTTTTAACGTTCGGGATTATTTGAAGACAAGTTTTGCGTTTCAGAAAGAAATACATTGTATATTCGGAGATATATATATATATCTCAGATTTCAGCATAGAAAGTGGATGTGCTCGACGGCAGAATGATTTATTGGGATTCTCGCTTGTGCCAAGAGTCTCTTCTGTCTTTCTCTTTATTCTCTAGCATCATTCTGGTGTCTCGAAAAGCCAATAAATCCTTCTCCGAGTAACCAGAAACAACCGAAGTAGGATAACGCCATCTAGAGATCCCGTTGCTCATCCTCTTCTCTCTGTTTTCTTTTTCAGAACCTGAAGAACCAGATCATGACGACAAATGTTTGGGTGGAACAAGTGAGTAAAAAAAAATCTCATTCTTTTTTGTCTATACGCGTGCTAATGTACGAAGTTGGTTGTTAGAGCGAGTATACAGAGCGTGCACTTTGGTTTCAATGTATTTTTTAGCGTGTATTGTTTTGTCACAGATGGAGATACAGTGAGATTAATTGTTTGTGTTTACGCGAAAAGTAATTTACTCGCAAACAATATTATTTTGGTTTTTTGTGTATTGATTTTTTTCGATATAACTTATTTTTTTATCTCCTTGAATGTGGCACAGGCATTTAATGTGTTTATGTTTACTGCAATTTATTATTAATATAATTTTTATTATTATTTTATTGCACATTTATATGAGCCTTGTAAATAACTCTAGAATTATCGAGCGAGAGATTGCAGCTTGTATTTTAATAATTAATGTATTTTAATAATTTTAATAATTAACTGGCAATTGTCTGTCTTGTAAACTTGCGAGAGATGTGTTCACTTTCGTGAATTATTCGTAGCTTATTCGCGTTATTTAACATTATCGACATTTTTTTTTTTTGCAAAATGTAAATCGTGGCTAAAATGTTTCTCTATTGTCGTTAAAATTCAAAACTTTCTTTGCGAATTCTCGGAAAATCCTGTTTTATTTTACGCGTACATGAGATATGTATACGTGAGAAAAGTTTTTTTCGTAAATGACGATATTGGATGAATGATTAAAGATTTTACAAGCAGTTTTTGAAGAAAATTCGGTTTCTCCACTTGTGCGAATGCTGTGCGCGTTCGTATCTATTTCTTTGACCGTCAAGATCTTCTCTTTCGATATATAAGACGTGTCGGTTTGGAATTTCAAAGCAGGCGAATTTCATTGTCGCGCGACGATATCCGAACCGACGGATAGCAGTCGGTCTTTATTGGCGTAACACCCTTCCGTGTCGTTTCGAAGTGTACGATCCCGTTACAGGATCTATATTTCTTCCCTCGTTTTGCAAGTTTATCGATTGTACTCAGGGATTGCTCAGAATTCTTGTTCTCTCCCGTTTAAGCTGCTAATAGCATAAATTAGCGAAACTGATCTCGGTTAAAAATATTGTTGCGGCGGTTGTAATGATTTTAAATTTGAGATGACGGAGAGATGAAAAATTTTTCGACAGCGCTATGACAGGTGCCTCAGAGCGAGGTGCCTAAGACCCGCGAGTTACGTCGAAAGGATTTCTCAAACTTGATCCAGGACGCGTCGGGATGTCAAAAAGCCCGTTTCGTCTTACAGAATCTACAAGCAACGGGGTCGGGTTTGTCGGTGGGATGCATTTTAATTGCAAAGCAGCCGGGGCGCACGTACTTGCCCCGCTCGTGGATGCAACCCTCGTCTTGCAATGTGGAAAATTTGGTATTCCCGAAGAGTCGTTCCGCCAGTGTTGGCGACGATCCAAAAAACTTGCTATCGCGGTAGAATGGATTTCGTCGGAAATGTATGGACATTTGTTGGTTGACTTTAGGTCTAACTTTGAAGGTTTTCCAAGTTTTCCTCCATACGTGCGTAGCAAAGAATCAAATCTCTAATATACTACATTCGTTTTAATATATATGTATATTTAATTATAACGACATATACTTTCAATATATCAATTTTTATTTAATTAAAAGAAGAACAAGTTCCTGATCGTGTTAAACAAAGAAAATTATTTATTTTTTTATTTTTTATTTTTTATAATTTCTTTCATCGCTCTGAGTTTATTTTGAAAATGATAAAATGCTATTGACAAGCCGGTTTCTCTATTTGTATGTTATTTGTTAATTTCTCTTCGTTGCGCCCGATTGTTGTTCGACGGTTGCACGGAACCGGTTTCCTCTGGTTACCGAGTGGACGAGTTCTTTGTAGCGAATTTCCGTCGAGTGGTCTTGAGTGGCGGAACACCGTTAGCCACGGACAATGAGTCCTTTGGTAGCGGGAGCCAAGACACGAACTTCCCGGAAGTGCAGCCGAAAGGTCGGTCCGTAGGCAGAAGTCCCGATTTATATTGCACGACCGCGCGCACTTGTTCCGTTTGTGCGCGGGAAACTTTTTTTTTCCCCGTCTCCTTTTTATCTACGTCGACTTGTTCGTTACGATCGTTTGTCAGTGTCGATAAGACGCGATCGGTATTCTTCTTTTTTTTTCTCTCTCTCTCTTTTCTTTAACGTCGTCGAGGACAATAGAGGGGTAGCGAGAGACGACGACGCAAAGGCAAGACTTGAAAGAGTCAGAGGTGAGTTTTCTCCCTCGGTGTGTCACGTCAGCTCGCCAATGACGCTCTTTTCTCAGAGTTTTGAAATTGCTCGTGATTACTTATTCGCTGAAGAGAGCGCCTACAATTCCGAAAAGAGAGAGGGGAAGAGAAAGAGAGACCGGCTCTCTCCTTTGATGGGTTCGGAAGTTCCACGATACTCTTCCGCGAAGTAAACAGTCATATGTTTTTCTTGACAAGAAGATAGCCGATGGTGAAGGCAGGGAAAGTTTAATCGAGTCTCTCGGTGGCGGCGGTCGTGTCTTGTTTGTAAAACAGAGTGGATATTATCTTCATCTCCGGGGAAGACAAATTGCGCCGATGGAAACAATGAAGGAGAGCGGAAAGGAAGAGGGGGGTTTGCGGTGAGAGCAGAATAAGGGGAAAAGAGGCGAGGAGAAATATTCTCTCGCCTGTGGGAGAAGCTGGAGTTACAATCGGAGGAAGAGCGAAAGAGAATATAGACGGGGGGGGAAAAAAAAAAAAAAAAAAAAACGTGCGCGACGAAGTGTTTGTTAGAACAGTCGAACGCGCGGGACGCGAGAATCGTGCAACTCTGTCGCGATCAATCTCGACCGGATTTTATCGGGAGGGTTGTCTCTCTGCCACAACTGAGTGCAGCCGCTATTATTGATATAGTTAAAGCAATTACAACGAACCGGAACGCGATTTCATGCACGCGCGACTGCTCCCGCGTGCTCGCTCGAAATATCTCGGGTACAAATTTATAATAATAATAATAATAATAATTTCATCGTCGATAGCGGAATCGTAATCGACTGTATGCGCCGAGTGTGCGCGCGCGCGGAATTGCACACAGAGCTCAATTACGATGCACGCGCAATTTATCGACTGTCATCGAAAAATTATTTAATTGGGTTATACCGTCGTATTATTCGCGTCGCGTTCCGTTTGTTGACGGAGAGAAAGAAACGGTTCTACGCTCTCTAGCTATTGTTATATATATACAATATGTTACAATACATACATTTATACATATATATATATTTATATATGTATGTATATATATATATACATACATATATATATATATATACATATTAGATTTGTTTCTCCATTCGCTTAGCTCGTTTCTGTTGCCGAGCGCAGCCGGAAATCGACCGGAGTTCGCGGCACGGGTTCGCAATGCACCGGTGAAGAGAAAGAGAGAGAGAGAGAGTATCGTCTTCACTGTGGCGATATTTATACTATAAATATGGCCACACAGTGGGTTCCGCGCGCCGCAAGTTTCCGTACTGCTTCTTAGCCTTTGTAACTACAACGTAAATGCAAGTAGCAGCAGCTCTCCCGGATTCTCCCGCCCGGTCCTGCCTTTTGTTCATTAACCGATGCGCCGACCCGACGCTCTCTTGTGCCGCACTTAACTCCTCGATAACATGAAGAAAGCGCCGTCCGTTACAAAGGCCGTTCGTTATGAATACGGGATTCAACGTCGGGCGACGATTTACATAGAGAACAGCGAGAGCTTTGCTCTCGTTGTGTTGTTATATACCGTTATTGTATCGCGAATCATTTGCGCGCAAGGTGTACATCTCTCTCCCGCGAGTATATCGCGCACGTTATTATTCGAGACGACTTGTTAGAGTGTCGCGTCTAAACTGACATTTCCGTCCAACGCTAACGCTAAAAGCGCGCGATATTCACCGAGATAAATCATTCATCGTTGTATTTGCAATAGAATGAAAACGCGAAGCGTTGATACCTTTTTAGATCGTGGTTTTAATCAGTGTGTTTTTTTCAAGTTTTTTTTCCTGAAAGAGAAGAGAGTTTTATTAGAATCCACGAGAAAAGCATTGAATTCAAAAGGTAAAATATATTTTCCAACGCGTGTTATATTTCACAAATTTTTTGACGCGACTTATCTAAAACGCAATATGGTCTCTCTTTTTTTCTTTCTCTCTCTCTCTTTCTCTCGTTACGGAATTATTTCACAAAAATGAACGTGTGTTGACAAGCAATGTTTATTATGAGAAGGATATATTTGCGCATTGTGTCACTCTCCCTGTGTCGTCTACTATCGGGATTAGTTCGGGAATTACGAACACGCGCAAACTCAGCTTGTTCAAACAGCTAGGATAAGATGTTCCCTCGCATCGTCTCCCGTATTTGTTCTGCTATTTTGTCATTGTTGCTCGAAACCAGCTAGAGAGAGAGAGAGAGAGAGAGTTTTTACGGCTTCCAAATGTCCGACATGGACGATTGTCAGCTTTGCCGGAAAACAAGCCAAAACCAGCTTTCAAGTTTTGTGCCAAGTTTTCTCACCTACTTTGGTAACACAACGGATTTTCTTTCTACCTTCTCTGCTTGTTTCCCACCTTTCGCGAAATGTCTTGACGCACGATTTCTATACACAGGCAGTTATAAAAGATTCTCATCCTTCTGATTTCCCTGTGTTGCGAGATAAAAAAAAGAATCGATCGAAAAAAACGACGCAATTCGATTCGGGCGCGTACGCGCATTGTCTTGTCTAACGACGCATCCGAACGTCTTCGTTATTTTGTGTGGTCCAACCACGTCGAAGATAATCCGCGTCTTCTTTTCAAATTTTTCTTATCTTTTTTCCTCGCGACGCTGTTATTACTCGCGGGCGAAAACAATCGTACGGAAAAACGCTTTCTAATATTTGCAACGTTTGTCATTTTATTCGAGCTGTTATAACAGACATGTTTTTTTCATACAGAAAAGCAAGCAGTACTTGTATTTCAAAGGCTGTTACAGTCCAACCATCGACTATAACTTCGCAATTCTATTATCAATAGCAACACATGCTGCTGGTATTTCGGAAAAATATCGCTGATAAAACTGCGGGAATAAAAAATTCGCGCTCGTCGTTTCCGTGTTTTCTGTGCAATTTTTTTTTTTATTTTTTATTTTTTATTTTTTATTTTTTTTTTTTTGTATACAAGCGCGAACGTGACGCGCAGTGTAACGCGCGGGTCGGAGAGGTAAATCTGAAAGCGCGTGACGTCAACATCGGCGACGAAACGCGTGTGCACTACGTAACGGTTCAATAATCGACGATGAATTTTGCCGTAGCACGCCGCATTGTAATGGGAGAATGGCGCGCGCGATCTCTTACGAGATTTCGGGTTCAATCGCCGATTGTGCCGATCGCGATGTGCACGCGTGACTCGGGCGCGCGACGCCCGATTAAACCGAGTCTCTTCTCTCTCTCTCTGCCTTTCCTCCGTGCGAATTCCGTGCAAATCTCTCTTCTTCGCTTCGGGATACATCACCGATAAATCCTTTGGGAGTCCGAGAAAATATGGAGACTATCAGCCGCTCTCTCGAGTTTAAAAGGTTACGCCGGATAATCGTTAATTTTTCTGAGCTCTTTCGCTCTCTTTTATCGTTTTCGATTTTACCTTTTCTTTTTTTCCGCGATGATATCATTTGTTAACGCCGCGCAGAAATGATTCATTCATTTTTGTATCATTTATTTTCTCTCTGCTTCAAACGCACTTTTTTAACGAACGGACATTTAAGGGATCGGAGCGTGATTCTCGAAGAAAAAAATCGAAGGAGACAATTGCGTTTACTGGCTCATCAATTTGTAACAGTGCAGATAAATTTTATACCGCGTATCGATTTTGCGTAACAAGTTTTATGTATATTTCCATTGCGTTAGGGTCAATAAACAAGCAAATATTGCTCGAAAAAATGTTTAGAGTGCGAAGTTTAGATTGAAGTTCTTTGTAATGCATTTTTTTTAAACAAATGACTGATATTACGACGACACTCTGCGCCGTAAGAAAGAAAATATTGCTCTTTAAAATTGCAACACATTTTTTTTCATCCCGAGGTGAGGCTGTGATCGCGTTTAGGAACTCGATAGCCGGGGAGAGTGACTTTGCGACGTCGCACAAATCCACTTCCTCGCTAAGTCGCGCCCCTCACGTCGAGTAGAAAAATTTGAATGCAAATGACGTGTGGTGTAATTTACGATCGTATTGAAAAATACTAAATTTTTACGATCGCGCACGAGCCAACGGGCCGCATGTGTCTTGGATTTCTTGAAGTTTACGAGAGAGACGTTGTATTTCTTATTTATTGTTTTTTTTTTTTTTTTCAATCTATTCTTAATATCTTAATGCAAAATAAATTTTTTTTAACAACATTTGAACACACATATTTACGTTTGGTCGGAGAAAACAAATAATTTTAATTTTTTTCGAAGATTTGTTTGGAAGAAAAATTGAGGTGATGAAATTGCGCTTTATTTGCGCGAGCTCAAAGTCGCATATAATTACAAGCTAGGTTGATCCGAAGTATGGAAAAGAAATTTAGTATTTCAATATTTTGAAGCACCTCACTGTTTTGCATCTGTAATAACGCCACGAGTTAATTAACGTCGAGATAATTTGCCGAGTTCATATTTTAGTTTCGATCTTAGCAAAGCGCCGGGTGCTCTTGTGAAAGTACACCACTTCACTACGATGTAGTGCCCAAGTTTTAGGGTTTGCGCGGTTTTTCCCTCTTTGATTGCACAATCCGCCTTCTTCCTCTCCTTTCCCTTCCCTCTCCTTTCAAACACTTTCCGCGCGTTTCTCCGCGCGGAGTTTGTGTGTCGGTGCGCGTTTCCGTTGCTCCTGGCAGATTTCATTTTAGAACTGTGTTACCGAATTAACGTCGACATCATCCCGACGTCTGCATTATAATCATTTTAGCGGAACGATAATTTTCCGCGGTGAATATGTGACGGTTTATCATCTCATCTTCCACGGGAGGAAATTGCTGAAGCGCGCAATGGTATATGGTACAACTAAAAGCGTCTCTCTGTTCGCATTGCACACAGCTCTAGCGTATCGATTATTCTTCTGTTATAATGCTCCGAAAAAAAAAAACAATTAATTTCGCTACCTTTACTCTGTCCATACAAAACGCAAGTTTTTTTTTTTTTTTGACAAATAAACTAATGAAAATCTTTTCACAGATTTTGAAGAGAGAAAAAAGTAGTAGTTTTAATTTGAAAAGACTTAATCGCGCGTCTTGAATTCGAAGAATTTTTTTTCTTCTCTAGAGAAGATGTAAGATGCATAATTTTGCGCGAGATTACGTTTCTGTATTAAAATATACTTGTTTCGCAAAAATTCTCGTAGATTTTTCTTATTTCAGAAAGTTCGCAAACGACATTCGACTCAAGCAATTCGTAAAAACTCGGAGGAAATTAGAATCTTTTTAACTGTTCCCGGTGCTCGTTGCGCGATAATTGATTTCGATCCGAGTCGACTTGGATCGTGCGCGGAATTTTCGGACGTGGAGCGCGCGCTGCCAGATACATACCGAACTCGGCTAATTGCGAGAGGAATAATTAATGCCTGCAAAAGCAACGCGAAACTCGGCTCCGTGAATATATATATCGCGGATGTATCTGCAGCGACTGTTTTCTGTCGCACGTTGCTACGTGATATAATCTTATGCGAAATGACTAGGAATTAAGGTGTCTCAGATCATTCAACGTTTTTTATTTTTTTTTTTTTTTTTTGCTAGAAAAATGTATAACTTCTCATACAGTTTTTTTTTCAAATTCAAACAATTTTAAATTGAAATTAAAGTTTCTGTTATATATTTAACGCTTAACCAGTCGTATTTGGAATATTTTTTGAAATTAGAGAGAAAGAGAAAAAGAGAGAAAGAGATGAGACAGTTAAAAAGTAAAACATCAAGCATTAGTGAATTACACGTGAAACGCGGTAGAGCTTTACAAACTTATGCGACTAGTCGTTTTTTTATAAAACGTTTTGTATAAAAAGTAGTTTATTTTGTCCGCAACGAAATCGTTCATGTTCCATTTCAAATACACAGTCGGATTTTTTTTCTTTTGCCTTGATGAAATCTCCACGCACGCTACGAGCGTTTAATGACGAGGTTTTCGCTAACGCACAAATAACGTAAACAGATTTTGAAGATTAAAATTAGCGAATGTAGCGCAATTAAAAAACTTTTATTTCGTTTTTTCACGATGACTAGTTGCTATGTTTTTAATAGCAAAAATAGATATAGGAAGAAATTGTGTTCTAAAAAAAAAGGCGAAAAAAGATGCAATAAACAATCGGTTGGTGAATTATGCGAATTGCGCTGTGATTTTCGCGGAGACCCCGATCGATCTGGAAATTTTATATATATATATGCGAATCTATTCGAACTATTCAGCAATTAATTTTGCGAATTCGATCGAAGCGATCAAATGGATGTGAGTTATGTCTGTAATTGGAATTTAATCTGTAATTTGATCGCGCGCGCGCTCAAACACATCAGATCCGAGAGTCGGTCGACTATCGATCACAACGTAAGAAAATGCCAAACGTCTCGCACAACTTGAGTTATGTTTTACCTCGCCCGCGCCGGCATTTATCTCGCGCGGGGGACAATATCGACGTGTCTTGAATCACGTGCGACGGACACACACGCGACGTGCGTAAACGGCTCTTCTTACGTTCGTCGTAATATCTCGTCGATCGCGCCTCGTTATCGCCGCGTTCGATAATTTCTCTCGCGTGACGCGAGCCAACAACTTGAAAAAGAAGAAAATTGATCGTTTCTCAAAAAGCGGAAGAACTTTACTCGCAGACATATATTCCTCGATTTTTTCTTTCTTTGATAACGACAGAAAATAATATTTTATTTCAGAAACGCGACATTTCGGTGATGCAATAAAATTCAATTGTTTTTTTTTCTTGTTTTTTTTTTAAGAAGCGAAGAAACTGACAAAGAGAGAGAGGAAAAGAGAGATAGTAAAATGAGGGAGAAAAATCGGAGTTCCGTAAACACTCTCCTCTTTTGAATAATCGGTTTATTTCGTTTGGATGCGTAATCCGCTACTCCGGAAAATGAATTTTAGAAATGAAATTTCGTGTCTTCCCGCTCGGATATCGCTTGCGATGGATGAAATAATTAGACTTCCGCGAAATAATTGGATCGAAGTTTCTCCCCGAAGACACCTCGGCGGTCTCTCGAGTTCAATAACGAGATCAAGAGGATTATGATATTTGTCGGTCGTGCATAATATATACGGAACTTTGTTTTGGCTTATATAATTTTACTATGTGTTTTCGACAAATTATTACAAATTTTAAGAATAAAATTTTAGAAAAAAAATATGCTGTAACAAACGATTATAATAATATTCGTAAATTAAATGGATGTACAAGAAGGACAAATGAAGCGAGGAAATAATCAAAGTGGATTAAGAACACGCGAAAAGAAAAGTCGGTTCGTCTGGTTTTGTTTCATTTTCTTTGCTGCAAAGGTCCGCTTCGCGGTATTTGATTAAGGCGTCGTTAAATCGACGACACGATCACGATTTCTTTTTTTTTGTACTTCCAGGAGTGGACCGATTACAAGCTGAAGTGGAACCCGGAGGACTACGGCGGTGTCGACACCCTTCACGTGCCATCGGAACACATATGGTTACCTGACATTGTTCTTTACAACAAGTGAGTAAATGTTCGTTCGACTGCTTCGTCATATTGTAAACGTTGAAAAAATGCCGGCAACGTACATGCATAATATATTATTCACTTTTTTTAAACTAGCACAACACAGGCGCGCGCTACGCGCACGCTGTTATTATTTTAATTTTAACATGTTGTGTGTCAGTGAACACAACCTGTCAACTGCGATGACAGCTAGTATACACGTCTTACAAACCACATATGAGAGATGTCAGAAATAACGCGTGGAAATCACATTCGAAAAAACTAGCGAGAGAGGAAGGAGACTAAAGTTACGTGTTGTTTTTCTACTCCTCCCTGTCACGTGACTTTGCGTTAGTCACGTTTTTAAAGACACGTGACAAAAGTACAGTCACGTGCCTTTGGTCACACGTTGTTCTTCCATTCCTCTCTGTCGCGTGACTTTACTTTAGTCACGTTTTTAAAGACACGTGACTAAAGTACAGTCACGTGTCTTTAGTCACGTATTGTATTTCCGCTCCGTTCTTTCACGTGACTTTACTTTAGTCACGTTTTTAAAAAGACACGTGACTAAAGTATTATCACGTAACTTCAGTCACGTGTTGTTTTTTCACTTCTTCCTTTTTTTTTTTTTATTTTTCAAGTGTAATTTTCATCCGTTATTTCTGACACTTTTTATACGTGTATTTTTTTTATGGTTTGTAAGACCGTCATGCTTTGTTCCGTTTCTCCGTGTGATGGCGAGTACTGTGACATTTCAATCCGGTTTTTAACTTTGCAGTTAAATAGAAGTGTTCTATTTACGTATTTAGTTTTCAGTTGTGTATTCTTTATTTATGTTTTTTTTCTATTTTTATTTATTACATCTTTCATAGTTTTAGGTGATTTTCTACTTTATATTTCTGACTTTGGTTTGTATATTTTGACGTTTTTATTTTATATATTCACATTTTGATTCTATTTATTTGACTCTAAATTATCGCTCTTATTGACTAATTGCATAATATTTATTCATTCATTTATTTGATTGTTCGGTATGGACCTGCGATACATAGACATGCAAAAAATCTTTGCTGCACTCTAATTGTAATAAACTGAAATTATTTATTTGTGCGGCAGTCTGACGTATAATATTTATTACTTAGTAGTTTTTGACTTAAATATGACAAGGTTTTATGCAAATCATTACTTCAGACTGCAAATAAAATTTTTGAATGAATAAAAACGATGTTTTTTTTTTTCAATTTAAGTATATAACGGTGACATGCAAATAGAAGTACTTGTATACTTTTATTACGATGCTGATTGGATTATTTTTGGTAGTCAAAGATACGTGTATGTGAAACTCTTTTTCCTTCTCTAACTCACTTCGTATTTCTTTCTTTTTTCTTTCAATGCGCTCGTATACCATCTGGTAGCAAGCATACGAACGTGCACACATATTGATCGCACGACGACAATAATAATAATAATAATAACGTTTTTTTTCTGAAAACGTGAATTTCTCACTTTGAAACTTTATCGCATATCTCCAAATCAAAAGCATAAACACAAAAAACAAACGCAAGAATACTTTTTTTCTGTATTTTCTGAAACGATTGAGACTAAAACGAAATTGATCGGTTCTTGAGATATTGCTCCGTGAAAATCTTCTCACTTCTCAATCGCATGAAAATTTCGCGTATAAAGGCACGAGTTCTCGCGCAACAAAATCGAACGGCATCCGAGAAACGTCCAATCAGCATCGAGATAAAAGCGGCATCAATCAATATCGAGAGAATCGATTGTGATTACTTACACACGCTTTATCTGCTAGGATTAAAGTTTATTTCCCGAGAGAACTGACGGTTTTATTCCTAGCAAAAAAAAAAAAAAAAAAAAACCAAGCATAAATCTTTCATATCTTATGTAAATTTCCTCGTGTCCGACGATTTCATGTCTCGTGAGTGGTTTCTCGTATCCTGCGAGTAACATCGTTCATCTTCCTCTTTCGCCGCGAACCGACCGTACCTCATAGGATTTCGACGCAAAGTGCAAAGGAACATATCCCACGTAAAGCCGGGCGCAGGAATATTCCTCACGGAGGGAACGGCACGTCCTTTGGCCGGCCATTTCTGAAAATCCATGCCCGCGGAAACGAGCGCGCGCGCGCGCGCACAGCGTCTCTCTCTCTCTTTTCCTTCTCGCCGCGCGGTGTCTAGCATTGAGAAATAGGATGTGCTCCATAGCCCGTCGAGGACACTTTTACGAGAAGGCGTAGAAACTACTCCCTCGGCAGTGAGAGAGAGAGAGAGAGGTCGAGACTCGTTTGTCTGGCGGCGATGGCGCGTCCATTCCTGCCGCCGCATCCTCCGCATTTCGCGCTCCGATGATTCTTGCATGCACCTAACGTTCTTGCGTTCAGGTAATCGTGCGGAAAGAAGAAGTACATCTCGAATCCGCGATTCGAATTGGGATTGATGTGAAATTTTCAACGTTACTCGCACGGGAAAAAAAATCAAGTAATTGCCGGTAAAAGTAAAATAACAAAGAGATAATTAATCGCAATTACGAAGCAGTTGACCCCAAGAGAGAGAGAGAGAGAGATCAGTTGACATACTGATTATGGTGAGTGCGGTACAAAGGGAGATACATTTTAGAGCGAATATTGCGGCGCTTGATATCGCCGACGTTTGTGACCGCGAATTTCATCCGTCGCGAGTCTTCAGCGTGCACATAGTACTCAGAAACGATGACGTGATGCGTAATGTGCGGTCAGCTAAGCCGCAAATTGCATAAATCCACGCAAATTACGAAACTATTAATCCAAAACAAGTCGAAATTAATTATTCGTGTTTGCTGATGCGCGGGGTGTTTTGTCCCCGGTGCTGTGCGTCACCCGGCGTGGTGTTGTCGAAACGCTCGCGAGATTGCGCTGTTTTTTTTTTTTTTTTTTAACTTCTAAAAAATACTTTTTCACGAATTTCGAATTTTGTTGAAATTGATTGGAAATAAAATTCAGCGATGGAAAAAAGAACGTTGCTTCGCAAAGTATTGGGTGGCGCCCTCGTGATTCTTCGGTAAACAGTGATTTCTGGTCTATCTATTTCGCGAACAATTGGATGTCGAGGGAAGGGCGAAGGCAATCTCGTCTAAGGCGTCGCGGGAAGGTATATCAAATAAACCGAACTTAAGCCGCGCTATTAAGCTCCACTCGAGCGCGCGACGTTCAATCCACGCCATTCTCATTTCCATCGGAGCTTTGAGACGCGCGCCGCCCTATCCGCGCGAAGCTTCGTTCACCGGCATCTCTTGGTTCACGCGACAAGACACTCCTTCTATACGTATGACGCTGATACATTATGTAAAACTCAACCTGACGTGCCAAGACGACGACAACGACGACGCCGCTTGCATTTCCCGGCCTCTGACGCGCTATACATATATATTTTCCCTTATTTTTCGCCGGTCCCGCGTAAAAGTGCACTCCGAAGTGTGCCAGCATAGCGCGGTCTGATAACAATAAAAAAAAAAAAGTAATAAACTAAATTGGCTGCGCGCAAAATATAACAGAAAAAAATTAGCCGCGTTAAAAAGCGGGTTATTAATTTATATAACGGAAACATAACAATTAAAAATTTTTTGGAAAGCTTAATAAGAACCAACGCTGCGAACTTCACAGAGTAATTCCATTAAAAATTTATAAAAAAACATTCATACATGTCGACTTTTATTTTGGTACTTTTTTTTGCTGAAAAAATTTACAAGAATTTTAATGTAAAACAAAAAAAAAAAATATTTCGCACTGTTGCTTTTAATGAGGGAGAAAAAAATTAATTCTTCTGCTGTTGGAAACGATTCAACAAAGAATTAAAAAAAAAAAAAAAAACATTGTTATCGATTCGAACAAATAACTTTGCGCACGTTACTAAGTGAAACTTTAATGTTTTGCTGTGTGCATCAGCTTACTTAAGTAACCGTCTATATGTACGTGAAAGGCCGGCGGAATGGCGGCCAAAGGGTTGCTCAGGCACAACGACCCTGGTGCGCGCACAGGTACGCGCGCGCCATCCTGTGCCGCAAAATGCGGAGTTAAAATATGCAAGAAACGTACGCGAGGGCGAATCTCGTTACTCCATTATCACCGGATTACTGCACCTGCAGCTCATCCCAGACCACAGTACGGTAATTCATTCCAGTCGGCCCGCGGGATGGTCGGGCGCGACCTGGAAACAAAGCAACCCCCCGGCCCTCTCTTTACATTAACTTACATGCGCGCATAAGAAAAGCGATCGCGCGCAATTGTTAATACGCAATTGTTGTTACGTCGAACGAATTTCGCGGCGAGATAGAGTGGAGAAGATGGAATTGGATGTTTTTTGAAATGAAGTTAAAAAAAAAACAGAAAGCTCTCGGTGAGGGATAAATTGCGCGCACGTTGTGCTCGAAAACTGGCGCTTCCGCTCGTTGTTTATAACGTTTAATCCGCTTTCCCCGTCGCCGAGATGCTTCGCATTCCGTGCGTGTCAACCACGAACTTCCGCCATAACACGCTATCAATTGCGGGGATCAGTCTGTCTCGCGTGGACGCCACGTCGTGAGCGAGCCGAGATCTACGACAATAGAAGGGCTTTTCCCCCGGAGCGATAGCCAGACGTCACGGGATCGGAGGGGAGAAAGGGAGAGAGAGAGAGAGAGAGAGAGAGAGAGATGTAAGTAATATTGTCCATAAAGGGTGCGTCAGCGTGGAAAATGCGCTTGCAACCCCCGAGGTTCGAGACGGCGAATATACCGAGCCTTACCCTCCGTCCGGGGGAGGGACAAACTGCCGGGTAAGAAGACGCCGATGGTCCGGACCGGGGGTATGTGCTCGTTCTGGAGTAAGCCACGGGAAAAGATTATCGTGGACTTCGCCAGAATGGCCGGCGATCCACAATGCCGGCCGACGTCGTCTTGCTTCGACGTGAGAGCACTCGCGCGCGCGTAGCTCCGTGAAAGTGATTCCCGTAGAGAAACGTTGGATACACCGTGGCGTCCAAATGGGTATCATATTTTTCCGCTCACGAGAGACCGACCTTCTGCGAAGAGCAGCACTTCCCGCGACGTTTCCCCCGTCGCGGTTATAAATAAGCGTATTCTAAGAAGATCGTTTCCGCGCCGTCGGTCTCAACAGGACATTGAACCGGAATGAGAAATCCCGTTATTACAATATATATTTCTTTAGAAAATTGCAAAATTACGTTGTTTCAATTAATCAAGTCCTGGTATAATTAGTTGAACAAATTAAGAATAAATAAAGTTAATTAATGCGCGTCGCGCGCGAAGCTAATTCGATCGTAACGAAGGGAATGGCGGAACGGCAAAAGAAGACGACGTCGATTTTCATAGATATCGCCGCGCAAGTTCTCGCACAGGATAGAGTTTTTTTTGTCTCAGAATTCTCGTCCGACCTCGTCCACAAGGTCTAGAAGACGAAGAGAACGAAGGAAAAAGACGACGATGTTATCGTTAAGATTTGCGACCAGACGATGCGGGTCTCCTTCTCGTCGCGGCTCGAACTCGTCGCGTCTGACTCGCGAAAGGTTTTACCACTTGCGCGGAGTTTCCCCAGATTTACATGACGTGGCCCCGCGCGCAAGAAGCGCGCCATAAAGCACGTCGAACGAAAAACGTGATTAATTGAGTCTTCGAACTTTTCTTTAACATATAACTCGCGCAGAACGTATCCGCCATTTCTTACGATGGTCGGCAACGTCCTCTTTGTCTTCAAACGGCGAAGTACAAAACTTATGGGCACGGCCCCGGAACACTGTAATTTTATTCTTCTCCTTTTCCTCTTGTTTTTTTTTTTTTTTTTTTTTTTTTTGAACTTTTTTTGAGAAATTTGTATGATTAGAGGTCCCCCTTTCGATCGAACGTATCCGCCATTTCTTACGATGGTCGGCAACGTCCTCTTTGTCTTCAAACGGCGAAGTACAAAACTTATGGGCACGGCCCCGGAACACTGTNTTTTTTTTTTTTTTTTTTTTTTTAAAGAACATTATCTTGGTTTTATGTAGGACAATGAAAAACTTTATAATGCAAAAATATTGCGCGCTCCTATATGAATTGTTATTTATATCTTCTTTGTGTTTTACAATAAAACTTTTATTAAGTGTCTCTTATTTACTGTTAATTTATCGCACGGAAATTTCTATGAGAACAACTTGTAATTAAAAGACGTGTCTGATTTGCGCTTCATTTAAGCGAACCGTTATCTTTTGTTGACTGACAGCGGGATAACGTTGTAGCATCCGAGATTACGTAACGCTCTCCGTGAAACAACGAGGAAACGCGTATTTCACCGAGAAACTATAATATATTCTCTTTCTCTCTCTCTCTCGAAAGAGAGCGAAGCTCGAAGCGCGCGTCTCTCGCAACAAGTCGCGATCAAAATTGTTGTTTCCTTTTGATACAAATTGTCGTTCTGCATTATCAACCCCGGCGCGAATTATTGTTACGTCCGCGTTGTTGAATTCTATACTACTATAGCGCATCAGCGTAAACGCTGATTTTCAACTCATGAAGCGTTTAGCACGGCTAATTTGCGAGGGTTAACGCAGGTGATGTTCTACACACGGGTTAATTTTCGGCGTTTCCCGTCCGGCTTTGCCGGAATTATGACAGCTGCTTTCACTATTCATGAAGATAACCGTTCGACCGACTCGTAATTGGAGACTACACGGCCGATGGAGAATGCATTGTGCAATCGATTCTTGGAGAATTGCCGCTAAATACGCGCCCCCCCTCTCCCCCACCTTGCGTGCTCAGAATTGTGTCAAATCGTATCTGCGCGAGGAAAATGCACAACAAATTAATTAATTAATAGTAATAAAAATTAACGCGGTAATAAAAACACGATTGCGTGGATTGTAAATTTTGAGAGAACAAATTTATTTTTTCGCGAAAAAAACATAAAGTAACTACAAAATTATATTTCATGTAAAAAAAACTTCATAAAATTATTTTAACTGTGTTCGATGTAAAAATTTATAAAATTATTTTTGAAAATTTTATTTTTTTGCCTTTTCTATTTGTATAAATGTGAAATAAAAAAAAAAGAAAATTCTGTTTTGAAAATTTGTCTCCGACATAATATCAAATCGCATCGGAATTGGGAAATCGGTCTTACAAATATATTCCCACGGAGTCGCGCCGCAATCTGCATACGCTGCACGTGTATGCAGACTGTGTCGTAACAGTTACGGCGGGCTGCCCTTATTTTTAGCTCGCGCCGCACTCTCTATACAGAGAGTTTGATAACAGAAATATAATTATCGGATGACCACAAAGTGCAGGAGACCTACATTAACACGCAGAGAGAGAAGCCCGTGTAACGGGATTCGCAGACGCGAGAACTTTATCCGATATATGCGGCTTTTGTCGCGAACAAACGTTTCGCGAGAACCACTTCGCTAAACGTTAAACGTGCAAACACGCTTTTCTATTGTGCTTGAAAATCACCACGGATTTCTCTAATGCCTTAACCCCTTTAACGCCGAGTTGTTAAAAAAAAATTATTGATTTTGATATAAGAGTATATATATATATATATATATTTTTTTTTTATTATTGATATTTTTAAAACACAATTTTTATTTGCGACAAAGGTCACAAAGAAAAGAGACAAATCTTGACATCCAGATACTGGTGATAAATGACTTCGATGACTACTATCGATTCTACGAGGAAATTGACCGAGTAATAACCCTTTTCTTAGTTTCATCCCTCGTGAATAAAAAAGATATACCATCTGTCTCGTATGTACCAATACGTATCCGTGCGATGTTACACCGTAACAGCCCGAGGCTATGAATTATTTCGCCGATCGACAATTTATATGTCAAAGAACGCGTCTGACTCCCCGTCCCGACTCCGTCCCGTAGAAGATATTGCGGTCGTTCGGCGAGAATAATATCGTCACGTGTGCGCGAGACGAGACGACGGATGAAAAATTCACGAATTGGCGCGAAACGGGCACGAAATGAATCGACACACGGCGAGAAAGAGAAAAAAAAAGAGAGAGAGAGAGAGAGAGAGAGAGATAGATAGAACTCGCAATAACCGTCGGCCGAACTAATAAGAACTCTAGGACCGACCGATTCCGGGGGGAGGGTGCGGAGGCACACCCGCCCCGGGAAAATAGTGCAACAAGTGCAGGTCGGCGGCAGCGACAGCTGCGACAGTTCTCAGCCGTAGCGCAGCCGCACACACCCTCGCCCACATATTATATTAGAAAATCCGTATCCGCATTATATTATCGGCGAGTTTATTCCAACCGAGTTCTATTTCCTTTAGGCTGCTCGGCGCAGTAATATCGCTGGCGTACGCCTTCGCGCGCGCTCGTCCTCCTCGTTTGTTCAGCGAATTGTCTTATCTCGCGCCACCGAGCGAGATAAGACAATTCGACCTCCCGTAACGTTTCGTGTTGATTTCGCGCACGGTGCGCGAGACAACAGCGTTGTCTATGAACGTGTTCAATTCTAGGCGCTAGAGATCGCGGCCGAGAAACGGCCCGAGCAAATTAGTTCTCCCTTCCAGGGAGGAAATTGGAGGAATATGATACCGGAATGTTAAACACGGAGCAGGTGTGTCGTCAAAATTGTCGTTTCAGTTTCGAAACGGATTTCTAAAAGCGAATCGTCTTTATCGGTGCGGATTCACACAGAGAGAGAGAGAGAGAGACAGAGAGGGAGAATTAATTTGCAGAAAAATTTGTATAGGAAGAAAGATAGTTTTTTTTTTTTTTTTTTTCTGTTGCGGTGTGTGACAGATAGTTACAGCTGTTTCGTGTTCAATGTACGCACCGAAGCGTGCATCGCTTTGTCAGATTTTCACACAGTAACATTTGAAGCGTCGCTTTGCTTTATTTGGAGTATCGATTGAGTGTGCCGTTTCTATTGGCTTACATATGGCAGGAAGCTTTTAACTTTCTGTCGTGACGTTGCAGTTTTGCTGCACTTTGCGTTTCGTTATAAAGGCGCGCACGTGCGCCTCGCGACACACGCGACCAATTCAAAAAAAAAAAAAAAAACGATTCTATCTACGGAGATAAGCGAGATTTATATGCCTCACATAAGACACACGGTCTCTCGCGGAACTGTGAGTGGAATTAATCTGTGTGGAAACATTTTTTTTTTCTTCCACCCACTCTCGTCCAACGCGCGGTAGTAGTTTTGGAGATAATCGCGCGGAAAGATTAAAACCGAGAGACGGTCTGTGTGCGAATATATTAATGTCGCTTGTGAGAATTATATTATCGTCCAGATTATTTAACGGCAAAATATTATTTTCTTGCTTTCAGTGCCGACGGTAATTACGAGGTAACCATCATGACGAAGGCGATTTTGCACTACACCGGGAAAGTCGTGTGGAAGCCACCGGCGATCTATAAATCATTTTGCGAGATCGACGTGGAATATTTCCCTTTCGACCAGCAGACTTGCGTTATGAAATTTGGTTCGTGGACTTACGACGGTTACACGGTAAGTATATTTGAGACGGGAATTAATAAATAAATTTTTCACCGTTTTATATATCTAATTCGTAAGCGCGAAGAGATCGTATAAGAGAATTAATATTTGTGTCACACAAAAAAAAAGAATGAGACGAGTAGAAATTGTAATAAAAGGGTTTTGTACGTGTACGTGCACAACCACAAAGTTGAGTGTGTGTTCACAGTTCGAATAATTCTACAACAATTTGTAAAAGTGTTTCGCCGAACAGCTTTTTAATAAATACAAAAAGCTTTCCGACAGAGAGAGAGAGAGAGAAAGAAAGAGAGAGAATTTCAACGTGTAAAACAGAATAGAATTTGAAGAGAACACATTTCAAGCCAATTTATTGCATACCTGCGAACTTTAATAAAACGAATGTCGTACATATCTTTTTGAAGGGTGGTTTTTTTTTCTACAACATACTTTGACCGCGAAAATTTGTCTTTTATGAAATTATGTCTCGTGCGGAGGTCGAACATACGAGAGAAGTAATTCAGGTAATGGTTACATAAATTCAACGCACACGCGCGCGCGCGCGCACACATACATTTTCGTTAAATTAAATTCAAACTGTGAAAAACACAACGAGATTTCACAGTTCTCATTATCATATAAATTTTGTATATAAAAATTTATGCGCGTATGAAAAATTCATAAGTACGCGAAAATATATCAAAGTTTAAATACGTAGTGCTCGTTATTATGCGTGTGCGCTGCGCGTAGTGTAAATCAGGGCGAATTAATCTGCGCAACGATTGTTTGACACACACATTTCACAGTCGCTGTTTCTCATATCGCAAAATAAATTACATCACATCCCTCAGTTTGTTTATTTTTAAATTCTCTCTCTCTCTCTCTCTCTCTCTCTCTCTCTCTCGCGCGCGCGTGAGTATTTATCTATTTTCACGCTAATTTTATCAGATGCGCGTGTATAATAATAAAAGCAGCGACGTGATGTCAATGAAATGTCACGATTACAAACACAACGCGCGCGGCGCCTGTTTGTCTCGTTCGTCGCGAGTTTTTCTTTCACGCTCGGAACGACAGTTAAGCTTCCACCGTGTGGCGCGTCGGATATATTCGTCACTGACAAATCCGCCTGTCTGTGAGAGTTTTACCGCTGTACAGCGCAGTTGCGGATATAAATCCTACGTCTGCGAGTGGGTAAGCTATTTCGACAGAAAAGCTCTCTCGTCCGCCGCTAGCCACTTCGAAAACACAGCACCGCCGGTAATCAACCTCGAATCCACCCTGCGCGGATAGCTTTTCGTTTCCGTTTGCTTCGATTTCAATTTTCCCATTGGCATATCTCGGATATTTTTTCGCGAAAAAAGACGTCAAAGATAATCCACGTGGTCGAAGATAAAGTAAAAGTCGGGAGATATTTAACTGCGTTTCAAGTTCTCTTATCGCAATATCAGCAACGAAAGCTGAGCGTCGACATCAGTCGATTGATACATTAATTTAATTCGCGGAGAGAGAGATTTTTAACAGAAAGTATCGCGCGATATAAAGAATAAACGATTATAAATTTTTGAGAAAATACCAGCCGCTAGTAATCTCTTTTTCTCATGGCTCGTAACTTTATTTCACTTAGCGGAGGGCTGAATGTTTAATGGCGCCAAAGAAAGTTGAAATAGGTCGTCACGTTATTAAAAGTCGATTTCTTCCGTAACTTAAATTAAAACAGAAAGCCTTGATTTCTCAGGGGGGAAGAAGAAAGGGGGTGGGAATTGAAAAAGCTGGGAGAGGGAAACGCGGAATCCGGTTAAAGCGGCGCGGCGCGAGAAAATGCGCGGGGAAGTAAGGCAAGCGTTGAATGAGCAATGATCGCCCGTTGAGCTATCGACAGATCTCAGAAGTGGTCCAGGGAGGATCAGCCGTCGAAACTCCAATGGCGCGCGCGGTCGCGATTTTGCTCTCTTCAGACTTTATTCCGATTCCATGATCCGCAGACTTCAAGCGATAGCCAAGAACCTATCCTATCCTGGCGCAGCCATTAGAGATATCCAATTTCTTCCATTCGCTCTTCTTCCGTTTCTTTCCTTTCCGTTTTTCCTCCCCCACTCTTTTTCTCTCTCGCTCTTTTTTTTTTTAAACAATCGCGTATTTCACGAATCGATTGGAGCGGGGGATAAAATGGATTTGGACTCGAGACTAGCGAGGAAAGTATCTCTCTCACAGCGGCGTGGAAATACAAGCTGTATAGCTTCTTCGAAATCAGATTTTTAAGTGGGGAGAAGGGGGGGAAAAATCGTAGATTGTGAAATATTTTGTTCGAATAAAATTTGCGCGCAATTTAACTGGTGTTTACCAGTTAAGCGTAATATAATATGAATATCATTTGTGACACGTCGTAAGGAAAATTAATGTGCACGTAACACGCGTTAATATAAGTGATAAATTGTGGCGCGCATCACGTAGATTAGCGCCTTACAACCCCGCTTACATGTGTACAGGACCGTACCGTGTGTGTTTGTGTTACTGCCGGGAAACTCCTTCAATGGAGCGCCGATTATCCGAAGTATCTATTAGGCAGGCGGGCTGGGATAATAAATCTTTGAACACCGTCTAATTGTCCTACAACTGTCTTTGTGCGTAATTGTGTTTACTTATTCGCCTCTCGGTGTGTTCCGCGATTATAGTAGTATCTCGAATGGTAAACACAGCCGAAGATAAGAATACTTATTTGGACGCGGCGAAGTAGAATAACAATTTGGATTTAACTGCTGTAGTAGTTTTGGAGATTAGATTCCGGAAATCGCTTCGACGATGCGTACTTTCGAAAGTCGGGGGGATTCGTTCCGAAGATTAGTTGGAGTTAAAGCTCGAGATGGATTACTATATCGCGAGAAGAGGGAAAATGCCGCGGATTACACTAGTGCGGTTTAAGTGAATATAAATCTATATTTACCGATCTATGTATTGCCGTTTCTTTGCCTCGGATATAATATAGTGATTTTTATATTTATTATTGTATGTAATATTATTATATATATTGTTACATCTAATATTACAATATATGTACACAATGTATATTATAAATATTATTATATTAAATCTACCGGAAAGTTCTGTCCGTTTTTGGAATAAAACAAAATACAAATTTTTCTTACCGTCAATAAACTTTATATTAAATAATATAATTGCCATTATTATTAATGATTTCTTGCCAGCGTGAGGGCAATTTGTATATCCCATTTTTGAAAAATTAAGAAAAATTTGTATTTTGTTTTATTCCAAAAACGGACAGAACTTTCCGGTAGATCTAATATATTAAAATATAAAAGTCCGTTTTGTAATAACAAACAGAAATGAAAATGAACAGGTCAATATCGAGCGAAATAGAATGTATTGTGTATATTTTAAAAAAAGATTAACACGAGTATAATGCATAATTAAGTAATTACGCGAAACGTTTCGAGCTCTTGAGTCTTCATCGGTCGCAAGGCACGAATATAAAATGACAAAAGAAATGTTTGACTTCCGTTTTGCTCGATATTGATTTTTTTATTTTAATTTTTGTTTGTTCTTATCATATAATTTAGTAAAACACTAAAAATAAAAAAAAAAAAGAACGAAAATAAAATATTGCGTGGACGGAATGAACACGGCAATATATTTTGAGAATAAAAAGTTTTATTTGATTCATGCGCGTTGTACGACATATCGCAAAAGTTAACAAATTACAATGTTTCTATTTTCCAAAGCTACATAACTCATCCAATAACGACCTTTGATGTTAAAATAGACGAATGCATCGACAAATTTAGACGAATGCAATTTCTGCTCGTCTCAAACCTGTATACGTGACACTAAACGCCATTTCACGGGTTGATAACAAAATACCGATATCCGATTTCATTCGACTGAGACGACACACGTTCTCGTTGTTTGCAGGTCGACCTGCGGCATATCGCGCAGACCGAGGACTCGAACGTAATCGACGTCGGGATCGACCTAACCGACTATTATATTTCTGTCGAGTGGGACATCATGAAAGTGCCTGCACGTAGGAACGAGGCGTTTTACATATGCTGCGAGGAGCCTTACCCAGACATCATCTTCAACATAACCCTGCGCCGCAAGACCCTTTTCTACACGGTGAATCTCATAATACCGTGCGTGGGCATATCGTTCCTGTCGGTGTTGGTGTTCTACCTGCCGAGCGACAGCGGCGAGAAGGTCTCCCTGTCGATCTCGATACTCCTCTCGTTGACGGTGTTCTTCCTGCTGCTGGCCGAAATAATACCGCCCACGTCGCTCACGGTGCCGCTCCTCGGCATGTACCTGCTGTTCACGATGGTGCTGGTGACGCTCTCGGTCATTCTCACGATCGCCGTGCTGAACGTGAGCTTCCGCTCGCCCGTCACCCACCACATGGCCAAGTGGGTGCGAGTGGTGTTCATCGATTTCCTGCCGCCTTACCTCCTGATCCAGCGGCCAAAGAAGGACGACGACGACGACGAGGAGGACAAGGAAAAGAACGGCAACGGGAACGCCGGTGACGTCGACGTCAACGGCGCCGAGGATTACGACGAAGACGATGTCGAGGCGGCGAACGGGAAGCCGCCAGAGGGCATCCTCACCGATGTGTTCCATGTTCCAGAGACTGATAAATACGAGCCGTATTACGGCACGAGGTTCAGCGGGGAGTACGAATTGCCGCCGCAGCCGCCACCGCCGGCGACGAGGTGCGAGTTTGGCGCCGTCGCGCCGCGCTTTGAGGAGCCGCTACCCTCGCTGCCACTGCCGGGGGCGGATGACGACCTCTTCGGCCCGGCCAGTCCCGGGTACGGTGCCCACGAGGACATCAGCCCCACCTTCGAGAAGCCGCTGGTACGCCAGATCGAGAAGACCATCGAGGACGCTCGCTTCATCGCCCAACACGCCAAAAACAAGGACAAGTTTGAGAGCGTGAGTAGCCTCCTGTATACATGTTCTTTGAGAATTTGTTTTTTTTTTTTTATCTCTGTTTTGTTCTCTTCTGCAAAAACTTTTCTCGAAAAAACACTTTTTTTCTATGTCTTGGATTACTTTTTTTTTTTTTTTACTTTGCAATATAATATACTATTATTGTTATTAGTGTTGCAACTTGTGGGAAAGGATGTTACATAAGAGAGAGAGAATTTGTGATTATTACTTTTTTCCAGAAGTTTTTTCGAATATTTCTTCTCTTTAAAACTGAGGTGGTTGCTGGAAAACCATCGCCGAAAGTCATTAACTCAGATGAAAGTTCTCGTGGATGTATACACGCCGTCTCGGGAGACATGAGTAACAGTTCGCTCGATTCATGTCCTATCGCCCTTTAAAGAGAATGTGACGTCTGACCTTAAAAGCAAATGACCACTTTTTTTTTTCACGTAACTTTTAAAGCGCGCGAGGAAGGGAAACACATTCGATATAAAAGTCTGTAACAAACTTGCGCTTTAAAAAAATATCAATCTTCTTTAAATATATTGCACGTTTCTCTCTCGCATTTTCGCTGCGAAAAGCCTCGAAAAAAAATTTTTTTTAATTTTATAGCAAATTTTTTCACGTCGACGGTTTAGCGACAAAGTTTTAGTTATTTCATTTGCAATATCGTCGTAGTTCGCAAATTGTCGCAAAGTGTTTTAGGATACGGTTGAAATGTCAGGTATGCGATTCGAAATGTTGTTCTGTTCGCGTGTCGTGCAAACGATGATTTATATATCGCGGAGTTTAATATCATTGAGGGAAAAGATTATTGCGCGTTTTATTTCCCGGCATTCCGGAACGCGATGGCAGTCGTGGTTTCTGATCGTAATATACGTGTCAGCACAGTAGGCGAACGACAATAATGCCGCATGTATCACACATAATCGTTTTTGTAATTTCGCGCACGCAGAGCGCGATGATATATCCTTCACTATCCGGAAGTACGTAAGAGGATTATTGCTGCGCTTTCATGAAGAATAAACGGACAATGAATTGCATGCGCATTCATTTATTTATTTATTTATTTATTTATTACAAAATAATACTATACTGCGTGTGTAGATTATATTTTTATGCGTTATAAATTAGACAGACGACGCGAACAATATCTTTCAAAAATATCGAAGTTTATAGCGTCGCTATATCGCGTATCCTGACTCAAACGCGAGTATATACTCCTGAGATTTAGAAATCCTCCTTCGTAAAAATCGAAAAAGCACCCAACTCCGTCGGGTCTCGACGATAGACATAATCCGTAGACAACAACAACAACCATGAAATAACTGTGCCAGGAATATCGAGAGAGCTGTAGTTAAACAAATGGAGAGAATTTCTCGTTTCTGTTTTATCTCTCCTCTCTTTCTCTCTCTCTCTCTCTCGCGCGCGCATTTGTGTATTTCTCGCTCGCGCATTTACCACTCCATTCTTTTAAGCACGCAATATAAAAAAATAAAAAATGTGAGGGGGAAAGAGATATTTATATTTAGATCGACCCAATGTACGCGCTTTGTCAAAATGAAGCTTTACATTTTCGCCGCTTTTTGAATAACAACGAAATATTTAACCTACGATTTGCGCAGAGCTGCTTCTCCCTCCTCGTTTCCCTGGTAAAATTGACAAAAAGTGGTTTTGCGAAATTTGTTTCCCGGGTATTTAATTCAAAACAAATATTTTCACTACTCGAAAAACAACCGCGTTATTTCAATTAATCAATCTTTTATTTCACATATTGTTTATAGTAGAACACATATATTTTTATTATTTTATTGCATTAATAAATATTAAATTTAGATATTTGTGTGGATATTCTATTAAATTGAAAGTCGATTGTAGCCAAATCAGTGGAAGAAAATATTTGTTTTCGGTTTTACGCTTTTGTGTTTGTTTGTGTGTATGTGTGTGTCACAGAAACTTTTGTTTTTCATACTTGAAAAATTTGTTAAGCCTTCAGTGCCAGATATGTCTCCGGGATCCATACAAAAGTTTTAAACCAGTGTCTTTACTATGTATCAATTTAGCGCGACATCTGAAGGCTGTAAAAGAAAATTTAGGGTCTTAGGGACAATGGTAAAAATCATTGACAGCGTCCTTCGTTTAATAGATTTGCGAAGTTTCAATTTTGAAGTTTTTAAAGACAAACGTGACTAAAGTAAAGTCACGTGTTTTTAGTCACGTGTTGGTTTTTCTCTCATTCCTGTCAAGTGATCTTCAAAACTACTGGAGATTTTTCCAATCTGTTTCTTTTGATCGACGCAGAATCGTTCAATCTTTCGATCCAAAAAAAAAAAAAATAGAAAAAATATTGTTTTTTGCGGAGATATTCAAACTTAAATCGCGTGGATCTCACAGACCCAGTTTGGACAACTTGTAGGTCATTTTTTTATGTCTGGCACTGAAGGGTTAATATATCGTGATATACATAAATATTATCTCTTTGATAAAACTCACTTTCGGGTCTTCATAAGAGCAATAAGTTTTCGTGCTTCTGCGAGTCTCGTTAGTTATTTTTCGGGTCATCGTGACACTTACTGTCCGTGGTCTTCGTGGCTAAATTGAGATCTCTCGCGTTTTACCCGGATACGTAGTAGTTGCCAGGATGGATCTTCGAATACCCCGGCGTTGCGGCGAGCCGTGCTCAATGAAGCTTCACTTAAAGGCTGTTCGCCGCCGATATCGCGCGCATAACTTATTTGCGCGAAGTAGAAGTGTATCCCGGAGAAACGCATTGCGGCAAACTGCCGTTCATTGCCAAATGCGCTCGTTTTGCGACAAATGTATATACACTTTACGAGCTCGTACGTACGGAGTGCTCGGAAAAATATTATTTTGCTAAGAATCTATCAACTATAGAAAATCCTCGCGATTAATTCTATACAAAGAGAAAAGTTTCTTTAGATTTATTAGTTCTATTTGTTTGATTCACGCGTTTATCGCATTCGAACAATATAATCTTATATTAAACGCGACACACAATTTCGATGAATGAAAATTCTTTATATTATTCGACGCGAAAACGTTGATTATTTTAAACAATACGTTTGTTAAAATAATTTATTTTCTGTGTGTTGGATTGCGTGCAACAACACATGATGATTTGACAATTCTTTGATTTTTAAATTAATGGATTGGTTAATCCTGACTTTTTTTTTGCAATTGTAGCACAAAAACTATCACCTATATTGATATCAAAATGTTTGATTTCAAAAACCCAAACTTTGTTTGGACTATATCGATGGAATAATTTGTTTGGATTTGGAACAAAATTTGTTAAGTCTAAAGAAATTTTTCTCTCTGTGTACGGCATTTTGCGTTAATTTTACGAAGTTAAATATTGAACTTTTCCGAATATTGAACTTTTTACAAAACGCAAATATACTTCACGAGCCAGATTTACACAGTTTCGTGATGAAACAAATTATTATTTGACAAACATGTATTTTATTATAAATTTCCTGAGCGTGTAAACACACACACGCGGTGTTTTCTTACGTCTATTTAGTTACTTGGAAAATGTAGTGAGGAGAACATTGCTGCAAGTACGTGGTACAACTGTGTGTAACACGCGCGGTAAATGCATTATATGCTTATCGCGCTATGTGCGCTACCGTGTAATGTATGTATACGTGTAACACACGCGTTTCTAAATATTCGCGTGTTGAGTGTATGCAAATGCATGCGGCGAGAGAGGCGGGAGAGAGAAGACGATGGCAGCACAGCCAATTCTGTTGTTGTAGTCAAGTTTTGGCACGATTTGACAGAACCGCATAATGCCCGCTCCATCTTGCCGCGAAATCGCACGATCGCGGAAAACGGATCAAGAAAGGTTCTTTATGCGAATAAAATGGAAAACCGAAATAGTCGAATTGCATTGTCAAATTCTAAGAGGATTTTGCTGGTAGCGAGAAAGTTGATAAAAAATTGAACCATATTAAACGCGTTAACATTGCGGATATTGTGCGCGAGAAACTTTTGACATCGAGTTTTTTTCGTCGCGATAATATCAAACAAAATTTTTGACAGTCCGTTTTTAATCGATTTAGTTTGTACAAATCGAATTGTTATAAAGTTACATATATAATAATTTCTTCGATCAATTCTTATTCTATTAAGTTCAATATAGATTCGTATCCATCGTTTGTAATTATCTCTTCGTACGTGTACCGCGTGTGTATAGCAACGTGGATATTTTCTCACGGTGCATTAGCAGTTTATTCGCCAAGAAACATCAGCGGTTAATCGAATATCGGTTCTGGAAAGCGAGATCATGCTAAAAGTGCTCTCATGCTAAAAGGGGGCAAAGATGTTTCTTCGGGACGGCAGATCTCTCGACGGGAAAGCAGGAAGGGAGAAAAAAAAAAGATACACGAAGAAAATGGAGAAATCGTAGTGGTACGTGGCTAGGAGTAACGTTCGGTGCATTGTCCTCCGTGGAAGTATCATAAAAGTATTGGGTGACTGTTTTATCGTCTCTCGTGCTCTCCCTCCTTGTCGCGTCGGGAATCCAAAGAAGTCAATACGTCCTTAGCGCGCGCGTGGAGGGATCGATCGTCTCGTTTCGTTTCTCGTATTTCCCACGAAACATCCTAGCGGGCAAAGCCGACACTGTACGTGGCGCGAAGAGATGCTTCAGCGGATCACGTGAAACAGGAGCTGCTCGGTCTTATAGCGTCGTATACAAACGCGTTGTAAGTCAGATAACGGATACGCCTGGCAAGTTGTTGGTGCTAAACATGCGCGAGACTTTCGATCCGGAAGGTTTCCACCGTCTTTATGAGAGAAAGAGGAGGAGAGAGAAATCTATACACGCGATAAACAGGACGACATATATCCTCTCGTATGAGACGCTTCTCTGCGATAACTGAATTAAACGCATAAATTCAGTTCGCATATTTAATTCTCCTCCTATATAAAAAATCCATACCGCGAAGTACTCGTTTTGAATTATCGAATGTATCGCATCTATTGTTGTCTCTTTTCCGCGTTGCCGATTAGTTGGTTGATCGAGTCGAGTCGAGTCGAATCGAATCGGTAAGATCGAGAGAGTAAATAATGACAGAAAAGCGATTTTGACAGTTAAAAATTAAAAACGTGACTAAAGTAAAGTCACTTGACAGAAAAGAGTAGAAAAACAACACGTGACTATTTAAAGTAACGTGATTGTAATTTATATTATATATAACATTAAATAATATATATTATACACACACACACACACATATAATTTATTATATATTTATAATATTATACTTAATATTGTATTATATGTATTATATATATACTACAGTAAAAGGTGACCGCGGCGGGGTCACTGACCTCGGTCGCGCGACCGTGGTAGGGGAGGTCACTGACCCGGCCGCGCGACCTTGGGGGGAGTCACGTTTTCTTTTATTTTTTGAGTTTGATTTTCATGCGTTATTTCTGACATCTCTCATATGTACATCATGTGTATTATATTGTTTGTAGGACGTATATATTAGCTGTCATTGTGGTGACAGGTTAAGTTCACTCACCCTACACGTTAAAATAAAAGCAATAATAGCGTGCGCGTAGCGCGCGCCTGTGTTGCGCTAATTGTAGAAAAAAAAAAGAAAAAAAACAAGACAGAGTCAATGACAGAAATATCGAATAGATATAACATTTGATTAAGAAATGTGTCACATAACGATAATATAATATTTAATCGTGGCGCGTGGTTTTGTTTCTGGACTGTTACCAGGTGGAGGAGGATTGGAAGTACGTCGCGATGGTGCTCGACCGGATCTTCCTCTGGATGTTTACGGTGGCTTGTGTGGTCGGCACGGCGATTATCATTTTGCAAGCGCCGAGCCTTTACGACACCACGAAGCCGATCGACATCAAGTACAGCAAGATCTACAAGAAGAAGATGATGATGCTAGGCATGACCTCCGAAGAGGTCTAGTCGACGATCCCGCGCGGCTTCGCGCCGCGTCCACCGTGGTGGCCGCCGAATCGCCGTCGGCGCCGACGACGACCTCGCCCACGTTGTCACCGTCGCCGTCGTCGTCGCGACCGTCGTTATCGTCGTCGTCGTCGTCGTCGTCGTCGTCGTCGTCGTCGCCGCCGTCGCCGTCGCCGTCGCCGTCGCCGCCGTCGTCGCTGCCGCCGCCATGGTGGCCGCCGTCGTCGACGTCGTCGTTTGCCGCGGCCGCCCATCATCGAGACTGCCCATTTTCGCGTCGATGTGGAAGAGGAACCCTCTCTCGAACGCCGGTGCCAAAGACACACACGCGTTGGTCCCGGACGACTCCAAGATTGGACAGAGCAAGTGAGGAGTTGCGATGCGAGAGATTAAGTGAGTCACGACCGCCGCCTGATAAAATCCAGAGGAGTTTGGAATATATTGTTTCCCTCTCCGCGTGAGAGAAAAAGGCGTGTCGGTTGTCGGAAGAAAAAAACTTTTAGTTCCCGAAACTACTTCGGGATGAGGATTAAGGGCGTGCGACCGCATGGTACACGAGAGTGAAATGGCTCTCGTGACAAAGTGAGATAGTAGAATGAAGTGCGCATGGTGTGTGCGTGTTCTGGATGAGTGCGGGAGAGAGACAGAATGGAACGAGTGAGAGAAATTCGGGAAGAGGAAGAGGATGAGAAAGAGGGAGAGAATGAGAGGAAAAGAGAGCGAGTGAAAGAATAAATGAGAGAAAAAGGGAGAGAGAGAGAGACAGGACAAGCGAGATGTAGGACGAGAGAGGTTGAGCGAGAGAGAGGTGAAAAAGTGCCAAATATACGCGAAAAACACACGCGTCGTATTTTTGTAAATCTGGTTTCATACGTAAGGCTAGAGTCGTGCGGTGATATGTCGAACTGACCGAACTGCCGATTTTATATACGAAGACGTTTACAGCGCGAAGGAGATGCATAAAAAAAAAAAAAAACACACCCGAAAATTACACACGCGTTCACACGATATAATACATACATCTCACATTACACACTTCGGCATTTAACATGTACCAAAAAACGTCACCCACGCAACATACCTATCCCTTATCTACTTACATACAATACGCGCGTACATAGACACGCATACCGTGCGCACCTTTCGGCACACGTAAACTTTTCCTCGCACGTGCTGCTCGCGTCGACGCGGCGAAGAACAAAAGTCTCGCGTTACGGAGAAACTCCGTTTTTTGCCAAATCGAACTCGTTCATTCGCACACTCTTACAATCGAATTCATCAAAATCGTAATAATTTTTAACCGGCAAGAATAACGACCTGTCGAGGCAACTGTCTTTCGTTAGAAATTTTTTCGCGAGACGAAAAATTTCGCCGCGCTTTCTGTCAATGGATTTCTGATCGGCTCAATGGTTTCCAGAACGGATTCGCGTCTACCTACTGATCTATCGATCCATTGATGATTCTTCTCCCGGATAATGATCGCTACTCGATTCCCCGATATCGATATGCCGTTATCGACGCGAGAGCGATCCGACATTCGAGTAATTTACACGAGCGGCCAATTATCGAGAAGCAAATTATTCAGTTGATCGATTATTCCGACGGTATCGAGTGGCCCGGACAGCGTTGGAGCACCTGACGAGAGTGGCATGACTACTGGGAATAATTGATTGGCAAAATAATTTGCGCGAAGCCATCCGCCCCTCTCGGTTTGTCCCATAATTAATGTCATTAATTAACGGCGGACGAGGCGGTTCGCGTTTTCCCGAACGAGCGTTGCGCATCGTCTTCGCCGCAAAACGCGCAGCTCGTGCGAAAATCAGGGGTTATAAGTGTGGGACCGAAAGTCACATATATGTATATATAGATACATACGAGAGGAACAAAATCTCGAACAACAATTTTGCGAACAACTGCCAATTTTAGACGCGGTCTCCGTTTGATCTGCTCATTCGACTTACGTGGGAGGAGGGGGGATTGGGAAAGAAGAATATACGACGCGCCCGTATATAAGCGATGTCGGCGGGAGGGTAAAACGCAATTAGGAAACGAATGAATGGAACGGATAATGATACGATGGGATACACGAGCGGTTTTGAGTAGTACGAGCCGGCTCTCGCTCCGTCGAGAAAGATTTCTCTTTGTTGTCTTTTTCTATTACAGATATCCCCAGAAAGGGATACGGAGAAAAGAGCTCGTCTTACGCCGAAAAGCCTGGCAATTATCATTAGTACGTCGCGCAAAAACGATAGGAGAGATAAAGCTCTCTTTCGCGAATATCGGCGTCGATATTTATATTTTTAACGTGGAAAATTTTCTCTCGCAAGATTTGATCATAATTTGATCATTGTGAAATTCATACAGGTAGTTTCTGATATAAAACCCATTGTTGTTTCGACTCAGCAATTGCGGTGAAAATTTACGATAATCAGTTAAAAGCGATTTAATCAAGCGCGACAAATATGATTAATTAAAACAAGCGCTGAGAGCGCATCGGTGTATTTGTGTCGAAAATGTATAAATTATGTTTTCATAATGTCGAAGCTATTATTCGCGTAATTATATCTTTGTACGAGTTCCGTCAACGTGAAGAGAGCGTTAACAATTTTATTTTACGCGCAATAATTTCTAATCGCACGCCTCCCGTAAAGCGGGGGGGGGCGTGTGTTAAAACGCGATAAAGGGGTCAAAGCTGTCTCGTCCGAAGCAGAAAAGCACCAATCGCCGTAACTCATCGTTCATTTCTTCCTCGGCTTCCTCTCGCGCTGCGCGTGTTGTAATTTCTTCTTTATTCTGGCTACCGTGTACATACCGCGGATCAATACAGACTGCATACTTACGGAAAGAGAAGCAAGCCAAGGCGAGGGGTGAGCGGAGAGGAAGCAAGAGAGAAAGAGAGAGAGAAAGAAAGATAGAGAGAGAGAAAGAGAGAGAGAGAAAGAGACGCGAGTATAGCGACGAGATGAGAACGCAAGAGAGAGAGAGAGAGATGTTTTCGGCGTGAGATGTTGCGCTCACTGTTCGTCGCGATTGGTCGACGTAGTTTCGTCGAGAACGTTTCTCGAGAGAAACGTCTCACGGGGGGTGTTAACGGGGAGAAGTTCACGAAATGACACGGTGGGAAACGCGAGAAGGATATGCCACATCATCGGCGGAGGACTAACTCGCCGCGGTGGTGGTGGTGTTTAAAGAAACGCGCGACGGAAGTTAAAGACGACACGGTTTCGAATAAGTAGAGTCTTACATCTCCCGCCGGGAGACAAGAGGGTAAAAAGGGCGAAAAAAAAAAAAAAGATAGAGGGACGAAGGGGGAGAAAGAAGAGAGAAACGGGACGTAATTAGAACCGCTGGAGGATTAAGCACACACGAGCGACCTCACACACGTATATATATATATATCACGAAGAACACACGCGCGCGCGCGCACTCGCGCGCGCAATCTCTCAACACAAACTCGCACACAAAAGGGGAACGCATTCTGTCTGATACATCTATACACACATGAGAAAAAAAAAAACAAAAAAAAACAAAAAAAAAAAAAAAAAACTACATACGTACACGTTGTTTATACGCCGAGACGAACGATTGAGAGAGGAGGGGGCGAGGGCCACGCGAGCGGGGCCCTCGATCCCGGCGGATATAATAATCAATTTATTTGCTCACGTAAAATGTAATAATGGTATAATATATTTCATATATGTGAAAAAAATAGGTGTAAAGAAAGATTAATTACATTAATTGAGTAATTGTACAATCCGCGAGATAGGGGGCGAAACGAGAGAAAGAGAACGCGAAGTGTGTGAAGAAAAGGGGGACATTCCACTTGTCGGCCGAGCCCCGCAATGAGAGGAGTCGCCGGCGGGTGTGTTGTTGACGGTTGTATTTGTTGACGGTGCGATACGACGGGGGGGTGTGAGATGAGGTGTGGGCACAAGAAGGAGGCTTGATATGCTGCCGCGCGCGTGGATCGTCGGGATAAGATTGAGTCGAGATATACAAGAGATGTGATCTTCGTTAGAAAAGGGGAAGGGGATCTTTCTTAGTTTCGATCGAAGGGTGATTAGCGTAGTTGAGATTCAGAGAGGACAGCTTGAGCAAGATGTCGAAGATGGAGCTACGAGAGGGTAGAGAGGGGGGTGAGAGGCAGATAGACGAGGAAACGGAGGATGATACGACGCGGTGATAAGGAGGAACCAGAGAGAAGCGCGGGAGCGCCTCGATAATCATCGCTTCAGTTCCTGCCGATCGCTGAGGGAATTAACTTCCTTAACATGGAAAGGGCTTCGGCAATTAATTAACGAGGCAGCAACGAGGAGGACGAGGACAACGAGGATGCAGGGCACAGCCATCGAAGAGGTCGACGTACACGCGCGCCGAGAGTGCATGCCGCACACATTTACAACACGTGTGTATGTGTGTATGTGTGTGTGTGTGTGTGTTTGTGTGCACGTGTTAGTGTGAGTGGGGGAAAAAAACTGAAGGAGAAAGAGGTGATTGTGGTGGTTGGTAAAGCTGGGAGAGCGGCGCGAAATGAACAATGGCGGGTGAGTCGACAAAGCGGCTGTAAAATCGTTGATATGTCCGATATTCGCGTTATCGTAATTGCGGCTCGTTTATCGGCTTTCTGTGCGCGCGGGATCGTGCATCGGGTAAAGTGCGAGAGCGCGCGAGACAAGTTGAAAAGTCGTTAGCAGCGAAATCGGGATGAAGAGCGTGTGTGTGTGTGTGTGTGTGTGTATATATGTATGCGTATGTGTGACCAATTTTCTATGATAGTTTAACCCGACCCGTTAATTAATAGCTCTTAAAACTAAAATTTGTGCGATCAAACCGCAACTGTGCCGCCCTCTCGTTCGGTATGAAATTAATAACTCGACGCGTAATCTCGAAAAACTTTTTCTTTGTTATATATATATATATATACACATATATATATATATATATATATATAAAAAAAGACTGTTCCGCTTTTGTAACGCCGCGGCTTTCCACCTCGAGAG